GCCCCCGGCCGTCAAACAGCACCGGCCGTCAAGCGCTGCCGGGTCTTTTGCGACACGCGGGAAAGGAGGGGGCGGAGGGAAGAGGCAGGGGTGGGCCAGAGATAAGGGGGCGGAGCCACGACGACGACGCGGCGGGAGCCGCGGGGGCTGGACGGTCGGATCCCGGGCTGTTAGAGCGAAGTCCCAGGGAGGGCTGGGGTCTGGGGGAGGGGTGGGGGAGTGGAAGTATCCAACTCACTTGTAAAAAAAAATACTGAGCCAGCCAAACCGAACACGTGTTGGGCCCCCTTTGCTACTGATGGATTCAATAGCCCTAAGAGTGGGAAAAAAATAAAAAGGAAACTTTTCTGTAAAAATGACGATCCTCCCTGCAAAAAAATTTAGTATAGATAAGAAAGGAGGAAAGAAAGAAAGAAAAAGAAAGAAAGAAAGAAAGAAAGAGAAAGACCACTGTAAACTAGACTTTTTAGGAAATATTTTTGTTGACAACTCTTCCAGACCTGTCTGGCTGCATGTACAGTATATGGAGACACGAATCCCACCCAGGACTGTCCATTTCTCTACCATACCAAGTCGTCTTCTTGATGTCACCCTGAGTTTTAACTTACTAAATGACACAAGACACTAAAGTCTCATTATTTGAAAATGCCTTTAAATTGTGAATCATCAATGCAAAAGAGAAATTTTGCTTCGTTTCTGGGGAAAAAATTCAATACGAGCACAGGGGCGGACAATGGGGCGATTGTTTCCATTTTGGTTTCAGGACATTCCAAAACCAGACAGTGCTTCCCAGTTGTTGAAAATTAAACGGTCATTTGAGGCGGCTTCCTGTGGGCTGTGAGCAGACACTGGTATGTTTGCCGGGTTGGGGTGCCAGCATCCTGTGAGAAGGTACCTGTCCAGGTGATCCTACAGTATGCTCACTTTTTTTTTTTTTCAAGGTTATTATCAAAGCATAAACACAATTTTTTTAATAGTTTATTTATTTTTTTAGTAATCTCTATACCCAACGTGGGGCATAAACTCCCTACCCCGAGATCAAGAGTCACATGCTCTTACCACGGAGCCAGCCAGGCACCCCCATAAATACACTTCTTAATTCCCACCTGGTTCACAAACCCCACAGAATATGTTCATGGAGGTGCAGGAATCCATGACCTACCGTTAGAAAGACAGGCTCTATCCAACCCCCTTGGGAAGGCAGAAGTCTTTGGGTGGCACAGTGTGGTGAGAACAAAGGACCAGGCTTGATTCTGACTGTGAAATGGGGATGACGAGAGAATCTGCCTCTCATGTTTTTGAGGAATAAATAAGTTAATGCAGGCAAGGAATGTAAGGTGCATGACACATAGTGAACGTTCAGTAAATGTAAACCCACATAATTATATTTGTTATTACAATCAACTGTGTAATAGACATATACCTTGGCTCACTTACGTGAATGTTTCAGGGGGAGCAATTCCTAGAAGCAGATTCCTGGGTCAAAGGGAAGCTTCATTATTTGTGCTCTTCACTCCGTTGCCACTCTCCCTACCCTCCTCCGCC